TTCTATCGTGTCTGCCCTGTCAATTCTTTTTTCTCATGCCGCAGTGTTTTTTAGGATTGTTACATAACTTAGTGGTTTTGGTCTGGTGAAAAGACAACTGGGAGGAGCATCCACCGGCTTATATAACTCTGGGAGTGACACGGTTAGGGCCTCACTGTTAATGATCATCAGCCTGTCCTTTGGAATTAGTGCCCTTGAGCTCTCACTGGTAGCAGAGCTGTTTGTGTGGTGTCTGCAGAGCCCACAGTATTTCACTTGTGAGTGCTTGGTTGCACTTCTCACGTACCCAGCTTTCTCTCACTCGGCTGTCATCATGCTTGGGTAACTGGTTTTAGCTCCACCTTTCTAACTGTAGCAGATGCCATCTTAATGCCTAGCATGTGTCGGACAGGTAAGAACCCATACAGGCTTTCTTCTCTGTCATTTGAGCTATAGAGAGAATTGTTCAAGGCAGACATACACTGAAGCACACAGGGGCAAGGAGCTTTCCTCGCCCTCCCTGACAGGTGGAAATGGGGATATACGTTCCTTTACTGATCCAAGGAGCGTTTCCTGCATCTGCTCTGTAATTCAATAATTGGAAATACTGAATCCTTTTTCCTTTGTGCTCCATGAAAGAAACGTAGAAAGCAGATGGGAGTAGCTGTCTCAGCCTTTGCAGATCGCCTTCTCTAGGAAGCCCGCTCCTGATTTGAATGTCTTCACACTCTGCAGTTGTCTGCTGGTGATTAGATGCTTATTTGTAAAGCACTTTTCCTTGAGAACCTTGCATACCCTAGTCATCTGATATAACTGCAGGGAGGGAGTAGATCTCGGAAAGCGATTTATCCTATTTCCTACATGAGGAAAATGAAGGTCAAAGATATAAAAAGGGATTGTGGGGATATTCACAGGCGTTCAACACCAGCCTCACCAACATGGAGAAACCCCGTCTCTACTAAAAATACAAAATTAGGGTGTGGTGGCACATATTTGTAATCCCAGCTACTTGGGAGGCTGAGACAGGAGAATCACTTGAACCTGGAAGGCGGAGGTTGCAGTGAGCCAAGATCGTGCCACTGCACTCCAGCCTGGGTGACAGAGCGAAACTCCGTCTCAAAAAAGAGATGCAGGGAGCTCTTGTTAGGACAAGGTTAGCTTCACGTGTACTCAGCTGTCCATTTCAGTGTTTTTTTTTTCTTTTTGTGATGGAGTTTTGCTCTTTCACCCATGCTGGGGTGAAGCGGCATGATCTTGGCTCACTGCAACCTCTGGCCCCCTACCCCTGCCCCGGTTTAAGCGTTTCTCCTGCTCAGCCTCCCGAGTAGCTGGGATTACAGGTGCCTGCCACTACGCCTGAGTGTTGTTTTTTTTTTTTTTTTT